GGTTAAGCCGTTCCCCAGCCAGGCGGGTCGCCACTCGCCCTGCCCCGCGGAGAGCGGGCGGATGAGCCAGCATCCGACAGCGAAGATGTCCGCTCCCCCCGCGTCTGCGCCCCTGGAGCTCGGGGAGGGAGCGAGCCGCCAGAGGAAGCTGGAGTCCATGATCCGAGACCCTCGGTCCCCAGTCAATGTGGAAAGTTTGCTGGTGAGTTAGACCCACCCCGGCACAAAAGGAGCCGCGAGAGCCTCCCCCTCCCAGGCATCGATGGCTTGGCGGGGCGGGTTGACAAAGAGAGCGCTCTCCTTGGCTTGCTGGGGGTGGGGGTTCATTCCAACGTGGGCCAGAGGAAGCTGGAGTCCATGATCCGAGACCCTCGGTCCCCAGTCAATGTGGAAAGTTTGCTGGTGAGTTAGACCCACCCCGGCACAAAAGGAGCCGCGAGAGCCTCCCCCTCCCAGGCATCGATGGCTTGGCGGGGCGGGTTGACAAAGAGAGCGCTCTCCTTGGCTTGCTGGGGGTGGGGGTTCATTCCAACGTGGATAGGTTTGTGGTGGATGTCCCCTCTGAGATGAGGTGAAAGGAGTGCTTGCCCACAGCCCTTCTACCTGAGGGGATCTGCTGGGGGGGGTTGAAAGGACTTCCCGCGGGGTGGGTTGGAGGAAGCTCTCACTTGGGGCTTTTGAAAGAGATGAAGAGTGGTGTCCCTCTGAACGAACTGGGGTGGGGTGTTAGTGAGATCCCTGTTGGGGGAGAGGGTGACGAGAGAAGGCCATGTTGGTGAGAACGTGCTCATCCAAGGGTGGCAGCCTGTCTGGCGTTGGGAAGAAGAGGGGTAGAGAACAACTCGTTTTCCTTGAGTGAACTTTGTGTTGGGGCGGAGGTGGGGAGACGGACTGTGGAGTGCTTCCTGCTTGACTGACTGCGGGTTGACTGAGAGGGCCCTTTCTTGGATGGATGAGGGAAATGCCTTTGGATGGATGGGCAGAGTGCTTCTTACCCTTAGCTTTATTTGCACTTTATGCACTCAATCTGATATCAAAGCAGGGCACTAAGATTATTGTGAGAATTGGAAGTAAATACATTCCTCTCCCCATGTGTCTTCTAAGTGTGTGCTACCACCTCCTCCTGGGCCCCCCCAAACTAAAGCACCCTCTATTGTGAAATTAAAGATAAGGCTTGCGCCCCAGGGCATGATGAAGACACAGTGCAGGAAAAGAACATGCCTAGGAAAGAACTGTATCTTGGGTTTATAGCAATGGCACTTATTTCTCTCTGCCTTTTGTAACATAGCATTTGTTTTCCTGTTTGAGTATGGAGTGCTGTTTTCTTCCTGGGGAAATCCAGTCCTCCATGAAGGAGTAGAAAGGGAGTGTGAGCTCCCCTTTTGAAACATGTAAGCCCTAAAAAGGTGGTGGGGGTGAGTATTAGTGTTTTTATCAGGCATCAGGTCTTTTCTGCAAGAACAGTGTTCTGTGTCAGAGAAGTCTTAGTGTCTGCAGGCTGTGTGAAAGGTTTGGATGTTTTTCTTTCTCATTGCAGGCACTCATTCTGAGAGGCCACAGAAATCATTTGCAAAAATGACTCAATTCTGTTTGGCCAAAGTACAGGAGCTGACAGCAATAGTGTGTGTGTGTGTGTCTGTGTCTGTGTCTGTGCTGGAGGGGTTGGGTGAGAGGGGAAGGGGAGAATTCAGGGACCTTCTGTAATGTGCATGAAGTTATTTTCATGCCTCTTTTATGTTGTGCTATTCTTGTCATGGATACTCAGAAGTGTACTGTCACCGATGATTTTTGCTGGAGTGGGTAGGATGTGGTGCTGCTTATTTCACTGGGCCTTGATAGGGTATAACCCTGGCCAAAGCAAAGAGAGCTGCCTCCGGGCTTCCCTCCCAGCATTTTTGTCGGCATTTCACTAGGAAAACTTTGACCTATGGCCAGAAAGGGTAGTTAAAAATAGTATAGCGGATCTGAAAAACTCATCAGGTTAATACTTAATGCTGGCTGATTTTTTTTTTTCATGTTATATTTTCAGCTTTTATATTTGTTGTTTTTGTTCTTGGGCTTGGCAGGACAATATTGTAAAAGCACAGTTCTTAATGTGATCTTGAATAAAAATTGCACGGTGCAAGTGTCAGCTTAAGAGTAGTTTTGCCTAGCTTATACATTTTGTAAAATTGCACCAGTGTAGATCAGCTCATATAATAAATTAGACAAATTACCAAAACAAGGTAAGATGTTTGTTGAGCAGACCATTAATGCATATTTTTTATAGTAAAGGACATAATTTTGTCATGTTCACTCTGTCTTACTAAATAGATGTATCTTAAATATTCATTATAATGAATATCAGTGGATGAAATTGTACAATTTTGTGTGTAAACATTATACTATTTAGATCCCTCTCAATTTCATACCTCTCAGCTATTCAGAGAGTAAAAAAATGTGGTGTTGTACATGAAAAGTGTAGCAATTTTCCTACAAATATTTTCACTTTTAGAGCTTGGTAGTGTTGCTTTGTGAAGTTTGGCTTGGTATTCTGTGCTTGGTTTCTCTTAGATTGACTAGGATGAATACATTCAAGTTGTGAAAAAGGTTTCCTTCTAAACAACTAGTTAGGGCAATTTGTGCTGAAGGCAGAAAATGTACTTTAAAGTGGGAATACAGTGGCACATATTGGACATGGGGAAACAGTCTTCAAAAGACAAGTTACATTACAAAAAAATAATGTTTTACATTATTTTTAGGTTGATGAAGTGGTAACTGATCATTGCCTGAATAGGAAGAGCTTAGAACATACACTATCAAATGGAATCTGAAGCTGAATATATTTCCTAATACTGGGCATCTAATAAATCATAAAATAGCTGCTATTCTGCATTTTATGTGTGTGTTTTATTCTTGGTAAAATGTAGAGAGGGAAGAGTAATAATCTTAATCTGCAGCACGTGGTGGAAATTTGAAAATTGATAAAATGAGGTAAGAATTACCTTTCTCTAAATATCAGTTCTATTGCCTAGCAAAGGCTGTACTATTCAGTAATTTCTAAATGAAGAGATTTTTATGTGCTGTTTGGATCATGGCTAAATACTCATCAGTAGAGTCTATGGAGCCCAGTACACAGATACGTAGATTTAAGACCATCTAATCTGGCCTCATGTATATTAGGGGCTGTTAAATTTCATCTCTTTATTGAGTCCAGGAACTTATTTGATGGTAACATACCTTCCACAAAAATGTTGACATCAAGAGATGGAGAATTCACTGCTACCCTTGAAAATTTGTTCCCATGGTTAATCACCCTCGCTGTTTTTGTTTTTTAAATGTGCCTTATATCTAATTTGTCTGGTTTTAGCTTCCACCCCTGGTTCTTGATAAGTCATCCTATGCTATATTGAAGAGTCCTATAGTACCCCATATATTTTCCTTGTGAAGATTTACATACAGTACTACAATCAAGTAATGATTTGTCATCTTTATGATAAACTGAATGCATTGAGCTCATGCTTAAGGCATTTTCTTAAGTCATTAAATTATTTTTGTGGCTCTTGTCTGCACCTTCTCCAGTTTTTCAAGGTCCTCCTAAAAATATGCACACCAGAACTGTATGCAGAATTCCAGTGTTGGTCTCAGTGATGCCATAGCCAGACATAGATTGCTTCACCATTCATTATTCCACTTCATATATCTAAAGATTGTTTTAATCCTTTTTGCCCAAAGCATTGCTCTTCAGTGAGAGCTCATATTGATGTGCTTGTCCACTGTGACCCATATCTGTTTTTCAGAATCACTGCTTTCTGGGACATTGTCATTATTCCATGGATACAGACTGAATTTTTTTCTTTTTGGATGTATGACCTTGTATTTGGTTGTATTAAAACACATTTGTTTGAATGGGACCAGTTTACTAAGCGATACAGATTATTCCATAGTACTTGACGTGTCCTCCTCATTATATACCATTCTGCCATTCTATGTCATTCACAAATTTATTGGAGCTGATTTTATATTTACTTCCAGAACATTGAAAAAATGTTGAATAGTGTGCCACCTAGTACAGTACTGACTCCTCTGGAACCTTACTAGAGATACCACTCTTCAGTGATGATTCCCCACTGACAGCTGCTTTTTTTACATGTCAGATAACAATTTATTAGTCTGTTTAGCTCATCGTTTATTATGCATCAGCATTATACACTTCATTTATGTAGCAGTTGCATCACTCAATAGGTTTGTTCTTACTAGGATTTAAAAGTGTATTAGTAAGTGATCGCTAATACTTAACATACTTTAAAACTAGTAACCACAAGGGATTGTAGACTGAAGAGTTGAAGTTAGATCCCTCCTTTGATTCAACTCTATCAGTTTAGTACACATGCCATTCTAATAGTTTAATGTAGACTTTTTTAGCTAATGCCTAAACAACACAGCGTAGACTTTGATTTGATCTAAGAGAAGAATAGTAGTAGTTGAGTGTTAAATATCCTGGTATAGTCATGCCTCCAAAACTTTTATTTAAAACCAGATTGCTTATTTCCTTAAAATTCATCTATTTTCTTAAAATGAAGTGTGACTTATAAACATATTTAAAGATTTTAAAATATGTTAATGGAGGAAAGCCTCATAACAAATATTTTCTGTCAAATCCTAGGTATTATATCAAGCATAGATGAGACATATTTTTGGAGATTAGGTAAAAGACCGACATATATAGGCATTCTTTTCTATCTCAGTGTTTCTCAAGTGGGCTGCTGGCCCACTTTGGCGAACCGGAGCCAATGGGGGCCGTAAGGCTCTGTGACTGCTGAGCCGTTAGATAAACAAAGTGGAGTGACCTGTTAGCATCTTTTTCAAAGTGGGACCATGGCTTGCTTTGAAAAACACTGTTCTGTGTACAAGTGTCATCAGGGGAATAAATTAGGGATTTAAGAGGTTAACTGGTTAGCCAGTTACCTGGTAAGCAGGCAGCTTCTCAGCCTGCTTGCAAGATAGCCAGTTAACCGATCCAGCCGGCTGTATCCTGCCTGCGGCTGAGGCAAGCCCAGCTGGATCAGCACTGTGGTGAGCCTGGCTGGCTGGTCCCTACCCACAACATGGCAGGCTGGAGCAGTCTCAGCAGGCGCATCTGGCTTATTCTGCCTGCAGCAGGCTGGCACAACCCTGCTGTGCAAACAGTCCTAGGTGGCTGGACACTATTTTAGGGTGTTT